CTGGCATCTTCCCTCCCTTACTCAGAGTTACTAAACCTTTCTTTGATCTCAAATTTCCTTCTCTGCAGAGTGAAACAAACAATATCTATATTCTAGGATAACTGCTAGGATTCAAGCAGATAATGTCTGTAAAACATTTAGCCCATTTACTGGCACAAGGTAAATGGTAGCTATTGTACGATTATCCTCTTCCTCCCTCAGGATTCTCCCTGTATTATATTAGCAAGTTAATAAGCTGGCTGACCTAATTGTCCCCCCTCCACACATTTTTAATCTTTGGTGGCTGCATCTACAGGCCAAGGCTGTTGCCTCCAGAGGCCAGGGCCCCAATTGGTGATCTTTCCCAAGCTAAGTGTGGGTGTTTCTGAGATTCGGAGGTTCTGGGTGCCCCAGGTGACTGCACCCAGGCTAGGAGTTTGTTCCTGGAGAAAATCTCGGCAGCGTCTCCTGTGTATTCCCCCTGTGTGATTTTTGGCTGCTAAGGCCGGAGAAGCTAGGCTGGAGGGCTGGCCCCTCCTGGGTGGACCTCAGGCTCAGCCCTGTGCTGGAGAGGAGATGGCCCACCCACCTAGAGGAAGCAGAGGGAAGGCTGGGCAGCCCCAGGTCTCTGGTCAGCTTAGAATTCATTTTGTGGGCTTTTCCTAAGAGGCACTCCTTTCGAGAAGAGGGGGAGGGTGGGCAGGCCTGGGAGCAAGCCTACTTCTACACCAAGCGCCTACTTCCTCTTAGATACACTGCAACCCTCTAGGGTGGGGTCTTTCCCAACTGAGAAAGGCCCAGTGCACTGTTTCTTGAAGTTTCTGCTCCATTTAAAGAAATGGATAAATGTTATACTGGAACCAGAAAAAGGGCAATTTATAAATGTTTCAGTAGTACTTGTAATAACAACAGCAAAGTCTCTGGGGGCAGACCCTCTGGATCCCCATGCACATAGTGAGAGAAGGACGAGGAGAGGGACCCTTTGCCAGAGCACACATCTGTCCTCATGGCCAGGAGGAGTACTGCAACACCAGAGGCGTATTTAGGAAGTCATTATCAAATGGTTGGTGAGTACCTCCTGAAGGTGGTTCTGAGAAGACTCTGCTCTCTCCCTGGAGAGGCTGAGGGACGAGACACACCTGCTTGTTCCCTTAGAGCAGCAAGACATGAAATCAATGGGTATAAGGATAGAGGCCTAGCCTTCTGGTCTCCCAGACTCCCTACCTTCATCTAAGTTACAGAAACAGGCAGGGGAATTGGGACAGGAAAGAAAGGTGCGGTATCTAATGTGAATTGAATACTTCTTATGGACTATATGAAAATGGTGTCTTTGTAGATCAAAAACAGTCAGATAGCAGCGATCTTTACTTAGTACGTGCCGACACACCACATATCTGAATTTGCACAAAACCTGGAAGATAGACGTTGTAGGACTTCACTTGCAGTCCCTGTACATTTCAGTGAATCCCTCTCTTCTGAAGATCCCTCTAAATTTGCTAAGAACCCTGGTTTTTCCGGGAAGTGATCTTTTTAAATTGCTGTTTCAAGAATAGGACTCCTGTAAGACAGTATCATATTCCCAATGAGGCATAAGCTCCATAAGTAAAATCAACCCTCATTCCTTGAGAGTGGCTGGTCATACTGGATTACATGAAGATCATTTTCTTTTTAAGAGAGGGAGAGATAATTTTTTTTTTTTTGTAGAGAAACACAACACAATGCCTTTATTTTTATATGGTGCTGAGGATCAAACCCGGGTCCTTCCCATGCTAGGCGAGCGCTCTACTGCTGAGCCACAATCCCAGCCCACATGAGGATCATTTTCAAATGAGACACTCTAGCTAAGGCCCCAGTTGCACAATCCATTTGTCCAGTTAAGACCTGAGCAAATAATTATATTGCACAGAAAAAAAGGAGATCCAGAATTCAGAATTTCTGATTTGGGGTTCAGGGATAATCAGATATCACTCTTACATGTCTCATTTGAATTTACAAATGTAGAGTTTACTAAATTATTTTACATTACAGAAATCTTAGGAACAGAGACAATCTCCTATTTATGATGGTCCATCTTACAATTTTTCTGCTTTATGATGGTTCAAAAGCAATAGGCATTCAGTAGAAACCATAGTTGGAATTTGGAATTTTGATCTTTCTCTGGGCTAGATGATGTGGTACAATGCTCTACTGTGATCCTGGGTGGTGGTAGCCAGCCACAGCACACGTAATCCTGAGGGGAAGCAACCAATACTGTGTAGTGTGCTGTTTTGCTAAGCTATGATGTGCAGTAGGCTAGGTGTATTAAATGCATTTTCGACTTATAGTATTTTCAGCTTACAAAGGATTTGTTAGGGCAGAATCCTATTGAGGAACACCTGTATATTTGCAGGGAAGATAGACCAGTAAAACAATATCAACACCATCAAAGCTAATTACTCTATTACCCTCTAAAACATATCCCTTTGCCAGTTCATTAAGTCTGCATTTTTTTAGTCTATATTTTGAGAGAGGGTCTTGTTAAATTGTTTAGGGCCTCACTAAGTTACTGAGGCTGGCCTTGAACTTGCAATCCTACTGCCTCAACCTCCTGAGTTGCTAGGATTACAAGCATACACCATCACAGCCAGACAGCAAATTCTTGTTCTGCCAGATCTTGAGTAAGAAGTTTGCCTTCATGAAGCTATTTATCTCTAGACTAAAAATGAGCCCTGGAAATCCTAACCTAGAAATTCAGACCATTGTTGTAGTCTGAATGTTTTCTAAGCAATATCAGCACAGAAATGTGGACTGAAAGATTACCCTTTGAAGTGTCAGTAGTTTGTAGTACCTGGTGCTGTCCCTTCTCTCAAGCCAATCACTGTGACTGTCCTTTGGTGAAGACAAATGCTGGTCTGTATCTTACAGCAGAGACTTCAAGCAAGCGTCTGAGTGAAACAAAAATGATTGGTAAACAGCGGTGAGACAGACAGCAGTCAGTGTGTACAAATGAACGGACCCACACTGTAGCAACCAGCTCAAGAAAGCCCAGCTGTGACCCTGGCAGCAACTGGTCCCAAAAGGCCAGGACTTAATTAATGAAAGACAACTTCTCTAGTTTGTCCTAATACCACCACTGATTTTAGGACCAACCTGAGAAAGCCAAATGTGGTCCTCTAACTAATCATAGAGGATGCCCTGCTTCTGGTTAGCCACATACAGCTTCCCCATGGCAAAGACCTGCAGAGGTGGGGATGGGGGGTGGGTAGGAAGAGTGGGGGGTGCTCTCCTCTTACCCACTCTTTTGATGCTAAATTCCCTTTCCTCTGCCTGTCAAGTGATTCTCCACCAAACACAAAGTAATGAATTCTGCCTCCTTTGCTAGAGAAAGCTCAGAATATATAACCTTTGTTTGTTTGCATTTGTCTTCACTTACTGGCACAACAGAGGCCTAGTGGCTGTGATTCTTTTATAATTGATAATTTTCAAATGTGAAAGGTTTAATGAAAATTCATAAAATGAAAAAATACAGCTATGGAGGAAATTGGGATGTTTGACCCCCAAAATAAAGATGAGGAAATTCTTAAATTTAACATTCAGCAATCCTGACATAGAAGTTCTTTTTCTTAATAATATGAAGTAAACAGATTCAGTAAATATAGAGCAATGCTTGGATATTTGTATTTTTATAGAACTCCAACAATAAGTCTGATGTGCATCCCAATCTAAGACCCATTGACTAAGAAGATGCTTTATGTAAATTATAGTAAAACATGGCAACTTAAACATCTCAATAATGTGTAAAATTCTTACTGATAACATTAAACCGCAATTGCCCAATATCAAAGTACCTTAAAATTCTGATAAATATAGGAAGCAGAACTATTTCATCAGATTTGTTTTTCAGTGTTTTTCCCTCTAAAAAACCCAATATATTATAGCAGCAAGAGCATTGAGAAATGTTCAGAAACTTCCAAGGAAGCATACAATTCCCAAAGTATTTATATTAATATTATTTTTTTTATTCTGCAAATCTCACCTAGGGCGGGTTGAGCATCTTTTCTGACTTGACAGCTTATCCCATGTAGCTGTTACAGTAGAAGCACATCAAATAGATTTAATTATTTCTAATACTTCTCTTTTTATAGATAAAAGAACAAAGAGTTGTGGTTTTCCAGGGGACTGGAAAGACAGTTTTTGGTGCAGAGAAACTTTAAAAGCTTTTTTTAAAAATATTAATTTATTTATTTTTGATGTATTGATATCCAATTTTGAGTGGAAAAGAAAAAGTTGTAAGAGAACACTAATAAGACAGGATCCTGGGTGACTGAGAAACACTTCATGGTTACTTATTTAATAAAAGTGACAATAAAACATTTAAAAGTAAACATAGTAGTTGACATGGATTGGGAAGAGCCTTAGTAAAACAAAGAAACTTTGTTTTACTTTCTCTTAAACAATAAAAACTTGATAACATCAATATCCAGTTTAGAGACTTATTCTGATAAAACCCAGAATTTCTAGTATGTGAGTAGATTACAAGAGGATAAAGAATTGTCTTTCATATTATAGTCAAATAAATGCATTAAGAGATCAATAAGCTCATCAACATTGCATGATCTTTGCTATAATTTTAATGTATTCTATAATTTTATTTTCAAACACAGATATGTTAAACCAAGGCAGATATTTTGCTTTCCAAGTTTTGTCCTTCATTTGCTCTTTCATATTCTGAAGCAAACTGATATTTAAGCACAGGAATTCTCTATTGGGGATCTATAAGATAAAAATTGTTTTCATAATAATACTGAGATATTACTTATGTTAATATGAAATGCATTTATCATTCCTATCTTTAATGAGTTAATCAATAAGAATATTAAACATTTCTCAATATCATTTATAATATAGGTAATATTGTCAGTTATAACTCATGCACACAAAATCATCCTTAAGGTCTAGGATATGCAGGATCAGCAATGATCCTGCCTCCTATTATTCATACCTTTGCATAACCTATTCTCCTTACTGACTTGCTTCTACAGAAACAAATATGGCAGAAGATACGAATATCACTTGAGATACTTGGTTTTATGAAGACTAAGACCTCTTTTCTCAGAGCTCCCTCTGACTCCCCGGCTCATTTACTCTGAGGGAAGTCAACTGCCATGTTATGAACTACCCTGCGAGAGGCCCAGGTAACAAGAAACTGAGGGAGAATTTGGCCAACAGCCAGTGAGAAACCAAAGACCCATGCCTACCAGTCCATGATGAACTTCATCCTTCAGACAACCACGTGAGTCAGCTTGGAAGCAAATTTTTCTCCTGCTGAAATTTCATGTGAGACTCCAGCGCTGGTCAACAAATTGACTACAATGTTATAAGAGATGTTGAGCCTTCCTATTATGGTTTAGTATATGGTGTCCCCCAAAAGCTCATGTGCAAGACAATATAAGAACATTTATGATGAAATGATTGGATTATGAGGGTTGTAACCTAATCAGTGGATTAATCCACTGCTGTGGATTCACTGGTTATAACTGAAGGCTGGGCAGTGGGAGAATACCATTGAAGCTTATATCTTGTCCCCGATGAGCAGATATCTCTCTCTCTCTCTCTCTCTCTCTCTCTCTCTCTCTCTCTCTCTCTCTCTCTCTCTCTCTCTCTCTCTTTTTCCCCCCTTCCTTCCTATTGCCATGTTCTGAGCTACTTTCTTCCACCATGGTGTTCTGACTCACCTGGACCCAGGGCCATGGAGTTGGCTGACCATGGACTAAACCTGAACATGAGCCCAAATAAACTTTTCCTCCTCTGTGTTGTTTTTGTCGGGTCTTTCAGCCACAGTGATGACAAAGCAAACTAAAACATTTCCAAAGATAAGAAATAATTTCACACTCTTACAAAGAGAGATAAAGTCCTTTCTGAATTAGAGGAAAATTTATACACAGACCTATAGAGAGCTTACAGTTTCAGGTTTCCAACTTCAACCAGTCAAGAAGAAGCAAAGTAGCAAAAAATTCATCATTGCAAACATCAAAGAACTATTCTTCCAGTATATACTAAATAGCTTTGAGATAAAGGTGGGCAGATAAACAAGTAAGAATGGCAAACTGGATTGTCTGACATCTCTCCCCACAGAGAAGAGCTCTCTGTCATCCCTCTAGAGAAATGAACCAAACTGTGAGGGAGTAAAGCAGTTCTCAGGTATTGCTGTCACCAGTGTGGAATAATTCAGCACAGGCAAAACAAAACAAAAGTAAAAAAACAAAAACTTTACTTCCAAGGGGAAATAAAAAACACTAAAGAAATGGGGAGTTAGCAATGCTAAATTTCAATTAATCCTGCTTGGAACTCACCTCTAAGATCCAAGGGAAGACAAACTTGGGCTTAAGTTCCCCATGAATTCACTCCTCTGACAATGCACAAAGAGGTTTACTTGGTTCTGTTGGAGGAATTCATTGGGTAACTCAGATGACCTCTAAATGATTAAAAAATATGTTTTTAAGCAAAAAGTACAAAAGTGATTCACACAAATGTAAAATAAACACATAAACACAATAAACACATGACAAAGATTTTATTTAATTCATTTTAAATGAGAAATAGCAACAGTGTGTGTGTGTGTGTGTGTGTGTGTGTGTGTGTGTGTGTGTGTAACATAAGGAATGTCAAAGTACATTTGCTTAATTACATGAGACTAATCCATATCCACAGGATGATAATTATATCTTCACCAAACACAACCTGCATTTACACAGATAAGAATCATATCTACTGTATTAATTTGTACAATGTACAACTCTGTTAAAGAGCTAAAAAACCAATCTAAGGTAGAGGTAACCCAGAGGAAGAGTTTGCTAGAGAGGACCCCACCTAACCTTTCTTGCCTCTGTCAAAGTCTTGCACGGTTTCCCTGACAGAGGGCTTTGTGGGCATGCATGTATGTAGGCTCCATGTGTGTTCCTTTTCTTGTGTCTGATTAAATAAGAATCTTTCCTGTGCGTAGCCTTGCTTGGACAATCAATATTTTCAATTATTTCTTGGCAAAAACAGAAGGCAGATTTTATTGAACCTATTCAAATAGCTGTGTTGTTCAAGAAAGGTTAAGAAACTCCGTAAGAATTTCTGATAGCGGTGCAGAGGAAGAGGAGTATCAGTGACAGTTAGATGCCTTTGTTTTGGTTCAGACAAAAAGGCAGAGTCCACTAAACTAAGGGTTTGAGTTAGCTTAAGGAAAAGAAGTATGGGCTTCCAGATATATCCATTTAAAAAAACTCTGGATATTTTTTATGCAAACAGATTCTATTAAACTCATCTAATTTATTTAGACTAACGGAATAATGCAATCAACTTATTTTTATTGCTGAGGTTTTCATCAGTAATTTGCCTATAAGAAGTTGTTACTTTCAGACTAAAATGTGTTCTGGAAATCCCACTCAGCACACTGGTGTGGCCAGAAGTTGCTTGAGCAGTGTCAGCTTGGAAGCCTGTTGAAAGTCCCTGATGCAATCCTTCCCATAAAACTCTTGCTAATCCCCTTAGAGTTTATCAGAGAGCTTGAGGCATGCTTCAGAGTCAAACATCACTTGTAGATAACAAACACCAAAGGCTGAGGTCAATTGTAATAGTAACCAATAATATCAGAATGTAGAAACATAAGAAAATCTCAGGCTGGGAATATAGCTCAGTTGGTAGAGTGCCTGCCTTGCATGCACCAAGGTTCTGGGTTCAAATCCCCAGTACCACACACACACACACACACACAAAATCTCTCCTAGGGTTCAATACATCAACTATATCATATGTGTTTGATCACAGTTTTCCCCTGAGAGTAAAAACATATTATGGATTGTGAGCACAGTATGATAGTTAATACTGTTTTATCTATTTAAATTTAATCTGTGGAAGGCTAAGTGATTTTTATGATTTGATAAATCTTTCTATGCAGGTCCTACAATAAATGTTGAGCTAGCTAGATAAAAAACATAGAGCATGAATAATATATGCATATATATTTCTAGCATCTTTACATTTATAAGGTAAAATAATAAATTTTCAATGTTTTTCCTATGCTCTTTGGGTTATCTCAAATAGTTTTAGGTGCAAATAATATTCTAGAAATATTATTTTAGTTTTTCTAAATGTAAGGCCTGAACTTGGGAAGGAAAAACATTCAAAAGGTTGTCAGAGGTGATTTGATCACTTGATTTAGGAAGGTCTTGGATGACTGAGAAACAAGTCTTGCCTGCTTAATCTAATTCTAATGAATTTTTTATGTCCACATAGAAAAAAATAATATAATTCCACAGAAACAGTGTTTGCACAAGTGAAGAAATCTTTTCAATAATAAAAAATAATCTTGAAATCAAAACAAAGCACAGAAAATTATTCTCTTTAGGCATGAAATCTTTACTCTCTAGATAGAGTACAGAGATGAAAACATTAATCCACCTATATAACCTTTCACATTATAGATGAAAAAATCCATTAAAATCAAATTTTCAATTCTGTGAATAATTCAACAAAATTGACACAGGTACATTAAAATTGATTAGAAATAATAATCTATAACTTATATTTACTGTATTGTCTTTTAAAAATGAAAGTACATATTGTCCTATAAATAGAACACTAGGAAAATAGAGTAGGTTTTATATATGTAAGCCATTGTATAAATAGGACATTGGGCAAATATGATATTCTTTCATACATTACATAACATCAAAGAAGTGATTTTCATGACCTGTTCAACAATTAATTTTGGTAGAAAGGAGAAAAATACTTCAAAGTATTTTACGTTATCAAATATGTTGTTGATTTTGCTCCATATGGCTTGTTTTGACATCATCATTTTTCTTACCATTTGAGAATAATATAGCTTCTCATATCAAATCTAATACCATCTTGGACCGTGGAAGGTCCTCAATCATGATGCTTTCTTCCTCCTGTTGGTTTCTCATTGCATCCTTTTAGGTGGGCTAAGCAGCTGTCTTTTGAAATCCAACAAACCTAGGAGACCTTTCTTGTCTTCACAAATTTGTTAACAGTCCATGTAATTATGATATACATATCAATTACTTGAGTAAACAAAGGCCAATACCTTTTTTGTTGTTGTTGTTGTTGTTTTTCTGGCCTCTAATAGAAGTCGTACATTTGGAAACCAACCAAATATGCCCATAGTACCCTTAAAATTAGTAGTTACCCACTACCTTTGGTTGAGGTACATTGGCTCTATTCTTCATTTTTTTTCCATAGGGGAACTTTGCCAAGTAGTTCCACTATATTTGAAAAATGACATACTTATCATCTAATCATCTGACGGTGAAAATTCACTGTTTGTATCAAGTCTGTAGTCACACAACCTTCTTGCTTGATTTTTCATCAGTGTTGCAGGTTTTGGAGGACATTTCTTTATTCTGTTTTCCCTCATAGTGCCTGTAGGTTGGACCTAGTACTTTACAGGTGTATCAGCAAGTTATAATCCGTTAATAGTCAAAAACCAGAGTGTGACTATGGATTCTCTACTTCTTCAAGAACTTTTTAGAATTACCTTACACTCAAGCAAAAGATCATTGTGCATCCCTCTCAAACACTTTTTCTGTGATATAAGTCAAAATTATAGTGATATCTTGATATTCTACAGAGTGCTCATAACTGATGCACAAGCCTTATGGGCTTACTTTCTAAAAATTGTTTCAGTGAATTGATATATGATAATAATTTCATCCACTGTCAAACACTCTTCATAAATGACTTTCAAATCATATTTATAGAGGATACATTTTAAAACATTTATCTTCAATATTCTCTTGCCATTCATTATTTCATTATTGTTGCAAAGACTGTATGCTATTTTGATACTATTTCGCTCCTGGAAATGATTTCTTAACATTTTGTTTGTTTGTTTTGTACATGGGTTTGAACCCAGGGACACTCTACCACCGAGTTATATTTCCAGGCCTTTTTACTTTTTATTTTGAGACAAGGTCTCAATAAGTTGTTGAGGCTGTTCTTGAACTTAAATCCTCTTGCCTCAGCCTCCTGAATAGCTGGGATTACAGGCATGAACCACCACACCCAGGTTGAGCAATGCATTTTTGATAATAGATATACCCAAGTCTTCATCATTTCATAAATGACTTTCAGCAGTTTCTTATAGATGGTAGCTCATGATAACCTGACAACATAAGAATTCTTAACAATGTTTTAATTCATCTACAATATGTATTTCAACTTATTCCTACTTTCTACAGGACAGCTTACACTATATATTTCAGGTATTAATATTTCAAAATT